ATTTTTTTTACGAAAATCGTTAATTTGATTAGACTATTATTTTTTATTTAGCAAATATTTATTTTCCGTAAATAAATGTCGTATTAGTACTATTCAAATAATTAAAACTTAATACATTCTTCTCTGAATGTATAACTCACATAATTTTTCGTATAAATCTTTAATGTAACTTTTTTTTTTGTTTTACGTAGGAGGAGAAAATCTTCGTAAACTTCTTCCCGAGGGGGACCCTTTCGGGACACCCATCGGGAAGGGGAAGACCCCCGACGGCCCGTACCGCCGGGAGTGCCGGATTCAGCCATCTCGTGATCCCTGGGGTACCATGTACCCCAGGGACGCACCGAGACAACCGCCTACCGACTAAAAACTCCCCCCTATACGTACTACCGCACAGGCAAGGAAGGCATTCCGGAACCGCACTCTAGTATCTCATCGGAATGCCCCCCAACCTATCGAGCTAACCTAGGCTCGCTACCGCTATATACGGGTCCACGCTTATCTAATAAAACTTCGCTTATAAAACTATTACCGCTATTTACAATACATGATACTATATACTATATACACAATACCATATACATACGCATACATAACCTAACCTTTTACTCCGACATCACCGGTCCTAACCAGTGTCGGAGTCCTCCTCGTTAGGAGGTAGGGCCAGCACCCCCGCTCGCGGGACAATTCCCCGCTCTCGAGCGCGCTCATCTTCCTCCTTTCTCCGCATCACGATTTCACAGAACTCTGCGAAGACGTGCCATGCCTCGGGAGAGCGCATGGCAGCCCTCACCACCGCTCGGAGTGTTCTATCCACTCCCACGACCGCCAGCAGCCCCCCCCCTCTGCTCCGCCCAGGCCGGACAGAACAGAAGGGTGTGCGCCGCCGTGTCGCTCGTCGCCCTACAAAAAAGGCAGATCGGGGTGTCCCTTCATGCTATCCTGTAGAGATAGGACTCGAACACCCCGTGCCCCGTCAAAATCTGAGTGGTGCGGTATGTGAGGGCACCATGCGCCCTCCCGACCCACACCTCCAGATCCCCCCCGATGGCGCTTCGCACAATTGAGCCCGGTCCGCTCGGAGGCAGTTCGTTCAGCCGCCTCTGCCACCGCCCGATCGAGCGACGTCGCTCGACCTCCAGCAGCATTCCCCCTACCTGCTGGGTAACCGCGCCGTCCCGGGCGAGGATATCCCGCCTTCGGATGTACGACCGCCTGATTCGGTCCGCCGCAAGGTCAAATGGGACCATTCCCGAGAGGATGGCCGCCGCGTCGTGCGAGATGGTCCGGTAGCCCCTAATTGTTCTTAAGGCAAGCTGCCGCTGCAGCTTACGCACGCTTCCTATAATATCCCGGTTTCTCGCTACCGTCTGTGCCCAAATTGGGGCCCCGTACAACACCACAGACATCACGACTGTGGCGTACATCCTCCTACGCCGCTCGCCAGGACCGCCAATGTTGGCGGTGATTCTCGCAAGGGCTCCTGCCATCTTACAGGCCCGGGGCATAAGCAAGCGGAAG